AGGGGCAGGTGGTTGAGGAAACCCCAGCACAGGCCTGTCTGCTGTAGGCTGGGGTGAGGATGGGGGCTTCAGAGGCGCTGTAGATGAAGAAGGCGTGGCTGCTTTGGAGCAGGCTGGGGATGAGGATGTTGGTGGTGGTGGTCGTGCTGCTGGTGCTGCTACTGGTGATGATGGCAGCTGCTGCTGGTGATGATGCAGCTGCTTCTGATGACAGTGGAGGTGTTGAGATCCTTCGAGGTGGTGGTGGTGTTGAGATCCTTTGAGGCGGTGATGGTGTTGAGATCCTTCGAGGTGGTGGTGGTGTTGAGATCCTTCGAGGTGGTGGTGGTGTTGAGATCCTTCGAGGTGGTGGAGGTGCAGAGACTTTTGGAGTTGGCTTCCTCCCTTTCGATGGCTGCACGCGCTGCGCAGGCTGAGGTCTCAGGGCAAAAGAAAGGTTATCCATCAACACTTTTACTCCGTAAGGTTAGAGCATAGACAACTTAAATTCATGAAAAAACACGTTCTTTTTATAAAATATAGGATTTTTTTTGCCGGAATCTATTTCAGATCGACATTGTCATGCAATTTTGATATCCACAATTTTTTTTTTTTAAACCCGGCATAAGGTCTTTAAACACGGAACTGGTCTGAACCGAAGTGGCCTATGCAGGTCATTTATAAGGTAAGACCCTTAACTCATAGTTTTGCGCTTTGTATGAACAAACAATGCGGGCATGAAACATATTTTGCTGTAGCCAAACAGATTGTCCACTTCATTTATATGATATATATGTTCATCTGATTGAGCTGAAGTCAGTGCTTCACCGGTGTTTCCACATTCACAGTGGCGGGTGTTGGTGTTTAGTGCTTACAGCATAGAGAGAGATGAAGAGTGAACAGGACTTACGCAGCAAAACAGCCTTTTCTAGATGGAAATATTGGCACTATTTCAGACTCACTGAAGTTAAAGGTAAAAATGCGCACGTCGAGTGCACATTATGTTCCAGAACAAAATGAAAACGTTTTACTGGTAACTAGTTACTTTTATAGTGGAGTAACTCAGTTAGTAACTCAGTTACTTTTTGGGAGAAGTAACTAGTAACTATAACTAATTACTTTTTCAAAGTAACGTGCCCAACACTGGTGAAGACTGCTGTGGATGAGGAGTGTTATGCAGATGAAGACCTCTTCGTCAGTGCATCTGCTCTGACCCTGTTCAAACCCGAGCCTCAGGGCTGTTAGCATCAAGGCTAACGCTAATGCTGCATTAGCATGTCGCCGCTGTGTGCCTAATGTAAAAGCTCTACAAAAGTGCGGTCAGCTTTAAGCACCACACTGGGACATGAAAGCTAACGAGATAAAGAGGCGCACACACACAGATACACTTAAACACAGAGACAATTACACACACAGACACACACACACACTCAAAGACACATTGACACACACAAATACAAACGGAGACACACATATACATACACATATGTATCTCAAAACCCTAAACAGTGAACAAATCTGTTTCTGTTATTGACCTGTTGTAGGTCAATATTGTGGATGACTTTTTAATAGTAAGCACACTATAAAAAGGACAAGAGGATGAGTCCTGTGTGTGTGTGTGTGCGCGTGTGTGTGTGTGTGTGTGTGTGTGTGTGTGTGTGTGTGTGTGTGTGTGTGTGTGTGTGTGTGTGTGTGTGTGTGTGTGTGTGTGTGTGTGTGTGTGTGTGTGTGTGTGTGTGTGTGTGTGTGTGTGTGTGTGCGTTTGTTTTGTGGACATATGAGGACTTTTGTATGATAACACACCTTCAATATCAGGACCTGAGGAAATGTCAGGACTTTTTTCAGGTCCCCATTTTTCCATGCATACTACAGTGTTGTAGAGGCCCAGAACAAGCTCCACACCAAAAATCAAGCATGTCCCAAAATGTCTACAAATAGTGAAAATGTGTGTCGGGGCCGAAACACTCCGTCCCAAAAAGTTTGAAGCGCCTCTCTGGTCGTGCACGGTACTACCTTAACACACTTTTAACACACACACACACTTGTCCTCATATGTCACCTATTTTGTCACAAACTTAAATACATTCCCAGAGGTGGGTAGAATAGCCAAAATATTGACTCATGGTAATTTAAAAAGATACTTGAGTAGTGAGTGTGTGTTTGTAAAAAAAAAAAACAGAAAAAAACTTTCAGCCAGAAGGGGCCTTTTGGAGTGGAGCTTGCATGTTCTCCTTGTGTCAGTAGATTATCTCCCTGAAAAATTGTCTTAACTCCAGTTGGAAAATCATGTTTAAATTAGAATTTAAAACATCAAAAACAAATATAAAAGTGAGGTGTCAAAAATTACAAACACAATGTATAAAAATAAATAATTCTACATTAAAGTTATAATGTATTTGTCCATCTACAGAGTTACTCTCCGTGAAAGGAGTAACGATTGATAAATATTTCACTCAGACCTGAAGTGCTTGTTATACTGTAGGTCCTAATATGTCACTCAGACCTGATGTGTGTGTTGTAGGTCCTAATATCTCACTCAGACCTGATGTGTGTGTTGTAGGTCCTAATATCTCACTCAGACCTGATGTGTGTGTTGTAGGTCCTAAAATCTCACTCAGACCTGATGTGTGTGTTATAAGTCCTAATATCTCACTCAGACCTGATGTGTGTGTTGTAGGTCCTGATATCTCACTCAGACCTAATGTGTGTGTTGTAGGTCCTGATATCTCACTCAGACCTGATGTGTGTGTTGTAGGTCCTGATATCTCACTCAGACCTGATGTGTGTATTGTAGGTCCTCATATTTCACTCAGACCTGATGTGTGTGTTGTAGGTCCTCATATTTCACTCAGACCTGATGTGTGTGTTGTAGGTCCTAATATCTCACTCAGACCTGATGTGTGTGTTGTAGGTCCTAATATCTCACTCAGACCTGATGTGTGTGTTGTAGGTCCTAATATCTCACTCAGACCTGATGTGTGTGTTATAGGTCCTAATATCTCACTCAGACCTGATGTGTGTGATGTCGGTCCTAATATCTGATTATCTTGCGTCACATTACACGTCTTCCTGTGACACGCATTTTCACACACGTCTCTCCTGCACTTTCTTATATTCTCCGCTTCTGTTAAACCTTTCATATAAGCCCCAGACCGAGGGGCACAGGGAGTGTGTGGCTGCAAGGCCAAAGAAAAGAGTTTCCTACGAGTATAACTCCCTCTGTCCTGACCCTGCTCTCAGTGGTGCTATCGCAGTAACACTTCAGACATTAAAGAATCAGTCTTTATTTAATCACCAGAACACACACACACACTTGTAACTTCCCTGCCTCCGATCGCTTTGCTCCACACTTTTCATTCTCATTCATTCATTTCTCATTGCTCGTACGCTCGTTGCTGAAGTGTGTGTGTGCACTCGTGTCCGCGGCGCGCACACACACACGTGCACACATATGTTACTATCTGCCCTGACCCTCGCTCTCAGTGTGGTGCTATTGCAATAACACTTCAGACATTCAAGAATCAGTCTCTATTCGCCAGAACACACACACACAAACACACACATTCCCGCAAACACTAGTGAGGTCGTAGTTAAAAACATGAAAACTGAGGACTTGCCTTTCCCAATGTTTTAGGAGGAAGAAAAAAACACTTTCTAGACACTTGATGGCGCTGCGGAGCTATACACTCCATTGAAAAAATTTTAGAACCAAGATTTAAGAAAAAGTTTTGAACCATCAGAGTGGGGACAATAAGTGAAATTTGCAAAAGAAATCATGAATAGACCTTTTTTTAACTCTTTGAAGGTATATTTAGAATTATATAGTTGGGCACATGTGCAAATGGACACAGATTATTATGTGGGATCACAGCAATTTTAATAAAACAAAGCAAAACATTTGAAAGACAGGTTTATTTGCATCTTTGTATTTTGACTTGTCCCAACAGGACAATTACAAAGGACCTAATACAAAGTGCTCTTGAACGGGACTTTAAAACATAACTGCACTTAACATTAAAGCAGGGCGGTCAAACTCATTCCTAAAGCGCCGCAGTGGCTGCAGGTTTTCCATCAGACCAAGCAGGAGCAGAGCAGACTCCTCCCATTTCCTCAAACCTTCAGGTTAAGACTGAACTCACTGAGGAAATGGGAGGAGTCTGCTCTGCTCCTGCTTGGTCTGATGGAAAACCTGCAGCCACTGCGGCGCTTTGGGAAGGAGTTTGACACAAATACAAGCTACACAAGCTGCCTCTTGAGTCGGATAATAGTATTATACACAAAGTACTTGAGGTCCTTCCAGGTTCTGTTGATGAGGGCTGCAGACTCCTGTGTGAGGCACAGCACACAGAGCCAGGTACTTTCCCATCCTCTTCTCCACGGCTCTCCTCCTCACTCCAGGGTTTCTTTGGGTTTCTAGAAGCTTCTGATGGAGACAATAAGACACATAAAGACTTATGTTTATCCTGATGACCAGGTCTGGACCAGGTCTAAACCAGGACTGAACCAGGACTAAACCAGGACTAAACCAGGACTGAACCAGGACTGAACCAGGACTGAACCAGGTCTACCCTAGGTCTAAACACCAGGACTGAACCAGGTCTAAACCAGGACTGAACCAGGTCTAAACCAGGACTGAACCAGGACTGAACCAGGTCTAAACCAGGACTAAACCAGGTCTAAACCAGGACTGAACCAGGACTAAACCAGGACTGAACCAGGACTAAACCAGGACTAAACCGAACCAGGACTGAACCAGGACTAAACCAGGACTAAACCGAACCAGGACTAAACCAGGCCTAAACCAGGTCTGAACCAGGTCTGAACCAGGACTAAACCAGGACTAAACCAGTACTAAACCAGGACTAAACCGAACTAGGACTGAACCAGGTCTAAACCAGGTCTAAAAAAGGACTGAACCAGGACTTAACCAGGACTGAACCAGGTCTAAACAAGGACTGAACCAGGACTGAACCAGGCCTAAACCAGGTCTAAACCAGGTCTAAACCAGGACTAAACCAGGATCAGTTGTACTCACCATCTGTCCTCTTGGTCCGTTTGTTTTTCTGGGCCTTTGTGGAGGTAGGCTCTAGCTCCTCTTCATCAGACACTTCAGCACACGCTAAGAACACACAGAAGGGTCAGCAAGGACTAAACCAGGTCTGAACCAGGACTAAACCAGGTCTAAACCAGGACTGAAACAGGTCTAAACCAGGACTGAAACAGGACTAAACCAGGACTGAACCAGGACTAAACCAGGACTGAACCAGGACTAAACCAGGACTGAACCAGGACTAAACCAGGACTAAACCAGGACTAAACCAGGTCTGAACCAGGACTAAACCAGGACTGAACCAGGACTGAACCAGGACTGAACCAGGACTAAACCAGGACTAAACCAGGACTGAACCAGGACTAAACCAGATCTACCCTAGGTCTAAACCAGGTCTAGCCTAGGACTAAACCAGGACTAAACCAGGACTAAACCAGGACTAAACCAGGACTAAACCAGGACTAAACCAGGACTGAACCAGGACTGAACCAGGACTGAACCAGGACTAAACCAGGCCTAAACCAGGCCTAAACCACGTCTAAACCACGACTAAACCAGGTCTAAACCAGGACTGAACCAGGTCTACCCTAGGTCTAAACACCAGGACTACCCCAGGACTGAAACAGGTCTAAACCAGGTCGAAACCAGGTCGAAACCAGGACTAAACCAGGACTAAACCAGGATCAGTTGTACTCACCATCTGTCCTCTTGGTCCGTTTGTTTTTCTGGGCCTTTGTGGAGGTAGGCTCTAGCTCCTCTTCATCAGACACTTCAGCACACGCTAAGAACACACAGAAGGGTCAGCAAGGACTAAACCAGGACTGAACCAGGTCTAAGCCAGGACTAAACCAGGACTAAACCAGGACTGAACCAGGTCTACCCTAGGTCTAAACCAGGTCTAAACCAGGTCTAAACCAGGTCTGAACCAGGTCTGAACCAGGTCTGAACCAGGTCTGAACCAGGTCTGAACTAGGTCTAAACCAGGTCTAAACCAGGTCTGAACCAGGTCTAAACCAGGTCTAAACCAGGACTAAACCAGGACTAAACCAGGACTAAACCAGGACTGAACCAGGACTACCCTAGGTCTAAACCAGGACTGAACCAGGTCTAAACCAGGACTGCCCTAGGTCTAAACCAGGACTAAACCAGGTCTAAAAAAGGACTGAAACAGGACTAAACCAGGTCTGAACCAGGTCTGAACCAGGACTAAACCAGATCTGAACCAGGTCTGAACCAGGTCTGAACCAGGACTAAACCAGGACTAAACCAGGACTAAACCAGGACTAAACCAGGACTGAACCAGGACTACCCTAGGTCTAAACCAGGACTGAACCAGGACTGCCCTAGGTCTAAACCAGGACTGAACCAGGTCTAAACCAGGACTGCCCTAGGTCTAAACCAGGACTAAACCAGGTCTAAAAAAGGACTGAAACAGGACTAAACCAGGTCTAAAAAAGGACTGAAACAGGACTAAGTCAGGACTGAACCAGGACTAAACCAGGACTGAACCAGGACTGAACCAGGACTGAACCAGGTCTAAACCAGGTCTAAACCAGGTCTAAACCAGGTCTAAACCAGGACTGAAACAGGACTGAACCATGTCTAAACCAGGTCTAAACCACGTCTAAACCAGGACTACACCAGGATCAGTTGTACTCACCATCTATCCTCTTGGTCCGTTTGTTTTTCTGGGCCTTTGTGGAGGTCGGCTCTAGCTCCTCTTCATCAGACACTTCAGCACACGCTAAGAACACACAGAAGGGTCAGCAAGGACTAAACCAGGTCTAAACCAGGACTAAACCAGGACTAAACCAGGACTAAACCAGGTCTGAACCAGGACTGAACCAGGACTGAACCAGGACTGAACCAGGTCGAAACCAGGACTAAACCAGGACTAAACCAGGACTAAACCAGGACTGAACCAGGACTACCCTAGGTCGAAACCAGGACTACCCTAGGTCTAAACCAGGACTGAACCAGGACTGAACCAGGTCTAAACCAGGACTGCCCTAGGTCTAAACCAGGACTAAACCAGGTCTAAAAAAGGACTGAAACAGGACTAAACCAGGACTGAACCAGGTCTAAACCAGGTCTGAACCAGGACTGAACCAGGTCTAAACCAGGTCTAAACCAGGTCGAAACCAGGACTAAACCAGGACTAAACCAGGATCAGTTGTACTCACCATCTGTCCTCTTGGTCAGTTTGTTTTTCTGGGCCTTTGTGGAGGTCGGCTCTAGCTCCTTTTCATCAGACACTTCAGCACACGCTAAGAACACACAGAAGGGTCAGCAAGGACTAAACCAGGACTAAACCAGGACTGAACCAGGACTAAACCAGGTCTACCCTAGGTCTAAACCAGGTCTAAACCAGGTCTGAACCAGGTCTGAACCAGGACTGAACCAGGTCTGAACCAGGTCTGAACCAGGTCTACCCTAGGTCTAAACCAGGACTGAACCAGGACTGAACCAGGTCTAAACCAGGTCTACCCTAGGTCTAAACCAGGTCTGAACCAGGTCTGAATCAGGTCTGAACCAGGTCTGAACCAGGTCTGAACCAGGTCTGAACCAGGTCTGAACCAGGACTAAACCAGGTCCGAACCAGGACTAAACCAGGACTGAACCAGGTCCGAACCAGGACTAAACCAGGACTAAACCAGGTCTACCCTAGGTCTAAACCAGGTCTAGCCTAGGTCTAGCCTAGGTCTAAACCAGGACTGAACCAGGACTAAACCAGGACTAAACCAGGACTAAACCAGGATCAGTTGTACTCACCATCTATCCTCTTGGTGCGTTTGTTTTTCTGGGCCTTTGTGGAGGTAGGCTCTAGCTCCTCTTCATCAGACACTTCAGCACACGCTAAGAACACACAGAAGGGTCATCAAGGACTAAACCAGGTCTGAACCAGGACTAAACCAGGACTAAACCAGGTCTAAACCAGGTATGAACCAGGACTGCAGTCATGTGTCTCAGGTGTTAGACTCACCATCAGGAGGCTTGTCCATGGGACCATCAGCCTCATCCTCCAAGATTTCAGACATTTTTGACCAATACTCAAACAATAGTGTTGTCAGCGCCCACCTCCCTCACTCTGAGACATGTTTATTACATTACACATTACATTACTCTCTTGTAATGTAGACTATTGCACTTTATTATTGTTGAAACTGCATACATCCTGATCCTCTATAGTATTTGCTTCCACATACTATAAACCAGGAATCAGCAACCCGCGGCTCCGGAGCCGCATGCGTGTCTTTCATTCTGTAGAAGGAAAAACATTCTTAACGTTTTTAAATGCTGTAAAATTGTGCATAAGTAATATTCAATTTCAACATTTCTGTCATATCCTGTGACGCGCCCTGCGCCAGGCGGCCGCTGTTGTAAACAAACCGGTGTGTGCGCATCATACATTGTAAGTGCGCATGGATCCAAAAGCTAAAAAGAGAAAGAGTTGATAATAAGACTGGACTAAGGCCCATTCCCAAACCCACACTGCACCCCACACTCCTCTACAAAGTTTGCATTTGTTTGAAGTGCACGCAAGGGTGCGCAGGTTACAAGCGTGCAAAAAAGGCGGAATTGGGACAGTGCACACTGAGTGCAGGTTACGTCATTGACTAGTCAAGAGATGGTCATTTTCAGACCTAAACTTTATAAACATTAAAGGTCATTTTGTCTGACCCTGTGGGAAACAAAATGAGTTGCTCCACACACGTTAAAATACACGTATATTGGTCAGTTTTTATACATCCTAAGTGTATTGTACTAAGTGTAAAGTTTAAATTGAATGTTATATGAATGCTTGCTTTAAAAAGTTATTAAATTGTTAAAATACAATGGGCCTCATGTATGAAATTTGCGTAGAAAAGGGTGTATATTTTGGGTGTATATTCCATTTACGCAAGATCTGACGTGGCATTTATGAACGTGTGAGATACGCACCTATCTGAGCGTACGCACCTGCGGCTGTTGATAAATGCCACGCTCACAACCAGCGTATTTATGAAAGTCACGCCTAGAAAGATTCAGAAACTGCCTGTTCCACACCCTGTTTTTGCGACAGTTGGCTAGGAAGACTGTTTGGAAGCCTCAAAAAGCACACCCTTCTGAAATTATTCACGTTTAAAAAATATACATATATACGCTGTATTATATATACGCGTTTTTCCCATAGTGTCTAGACCCACTGCAGCACTCATCTCTCCTGAAATTTAGAAGTAAATAAATAAATAATAAATGAATGAATGAATGAGCCAGTTCCCACATGCGCGTTGCATCCTATCTCTGCTATATGCGGAGAACAGGGCAGTGGATGAGCAGTTTTGAGCAAGATCGATAGCATTTATGGGGCTTTATGCACAAAACTAAGGAAAACCCACATTGCTTTGCCAGAGGTGAATGAGGCAAAACATATGAGTAATTACGTATACTGCGCAGGGTCTGGTTAGTGAACGGCTAAGGAAAAATAACTTCACGGAGCAGGAGATTGAGACCATTATGAACGAAGTGGGAAAAAGAATAAAGTCTTACTATTTGGAATTCTCAAAAGTGGCATCAAGGGGCTCAAAAAACAATATGTGAAAAGAAATGACAGCATCTGTAAACAGTAGGGCTTGCAACACGCACTTTTGAAGAGGTGAGTTTATTCATGTTCGAAGAATAATACGCTATATTATATCAAACAGTTGATATATTGGGCCAATAGTAAGAATTCATTAATTTATGCTACAAGTGAAAAAAAAAGGGAGCGACCTTAAAATAACAAAAAGGCGTTTAGTGCAGCCCATAGAAGAAGTGCTTAGAAGCCCAGGGGGAGGACCGCCAGACCAAAGCATCCAAAATAAAATATAAAGAAAAAATTATCTTCAAATTATGTATGTGATTATTATTTTAAAATGGTTGAATGAGAGCCTGTATGAGCTGTACAGGCCGAAGGCGGTGCTGGCCATGGTCTCTCATCCATGGGCTGCTCCACCAGTGGCACACTGTGGTCCTGTGCCTGTTGTGGAGAACCGAGCCAGGACCATGTGGCACACTTGTACTGGGAGGTACCAGAGCGTAACCCCTACATGTCCCAGAGCCTGATCAGACCCGCGCAGCGCTCCACGGTGGTGCGCGTCTTTGCTTGGACGCCAACCAAAGCCATTACGCACTGATTGTAGGCGTGTTTTTAATGAAGGTTGAAATGAGCGTACACATTTACACCACCTATTGACTTGGTGTAAATTCTGTGCGTATGATACGCTCACGTCCAGATTGATAAATGTGGAAAAGTGTAAATATTTTGGGTACGCATCATTTACACCCTGATTTGGCCGTACGCAAGTTTCATACATGAGGCCCATTGTCCGTAATTCTTCATCAGACATGTATGCTTCTTTCCAAGTAACATAGCAAAACGTATTTACACACATACAGCATATACAGTATATTTCAAAACTTTGACTTAAATGCATTTTCCCGACGTTTTGGTGTGTACCGCAAAGAATTATGGACAATATCCTTCGCCAAAGTCCGCATACATGCAGGCTACGGCAAAGTATGGATCAGAGGCGCAAAGGGGGCGGGCCCAAAGGCCTCCTTGGAGAATTGGGACGACCTACGCACTCGCACCCATCATCGGGAACACGCAAATGAGGGGCGTGAGGGTGGACGTGCGAGTATTGGGACTGGGCCTAGGAATAAGAATGAACATTTGCTTTCAGTCGAGGAAGGACTGCTTCATGTTTACGTTGTAATGAGAAGTTGTTGCAACACGAGGAACAATGAAGCGCAAAACACCGTTCACAGTGATTACGTGAAGGATTCATTCATCAAAAATTCAGAGCACCTATTTTCAGACTTCAAAAACCAAGAAGGTAAAAGAAGGGGCCATTAGGTGAAAGAAAGGGCCATTAAGGACATTAATTCAGCTCCAGCAAACTTCAGCCTGTAACGTGATGCAGGTATGTGAACTCTGAGCCAAAAATCTGATTTATTTACGCAGACGCAGGGATATAACAAACAGGAAATAAATCTAAACCATGACACACTGATATCTACTGGACACTTTTAATCTTTCTCTGATGCCTCGACTGTTCCTGGTTCATCCCATATCACTGATTCATCTGAGTAATCCACTCTTCCAACTGTCACCCCTAAATTTCTACGTCATTCAATTTCTGCAGTTGAAGTAAAGAAAGCTTTGAAAAACATTGATCCGAAAAAATCTCCTGGAGCAGACAATTTGGACCCATCTCTCCTCCAGCTGGCAGCTGACTTAATTGCTGAACCCATTACTCATATATTCAATCTCAGTATCCAAACAAATACAATTCCAAAAGTGTGGAAGGCAGCATATGTCCTTCCTCTGCTAAAAGGTGGTAAAAAAAACTCATCTAAATAATAACAGACCCATATCCAATTTGTCAGTATTAGCAAACATTCTGGAATCTCAAGTGAATTCCAAACTAAAGCAGTATCTGTCAGAAAATGCTCTCTTGTGTGACGGTCCCTAAGTGCTTTTCTCGGTGCTTGCAGTGCATTGGATTCAGAGGATTTCTCTAATTTTAGCACAATTAAGCCTAGTGTATACTTGCGCAACCCGTTGGTCACCGCAAGGCCCTTACGTTGCCTGCCGCGCAGCATCGAAATTTTCTAACTACGTAAGGGTCGCCGCAAGGCAGCTCTGCTGTGATTGGTCCGTGTGTGTGTTTTGGAAGGAAGCACGGAGCGGCTGCAGGGAACATGGACGAGGGACTATGGAGCAGAGAGCTTCAAGCTTCGAAGGAACCAAAGGAAAAGTAGTTTGGGCTCATGGCAGAGCCTGATATACGCGGAGACTATGGACTAGAGTTCTGTTGCATATCTAACAAATATATAAGGCAAGGCAAGGCAAGGCAAGTTTATTTGTATAGCACAATTCATACACAAGGCAACTCAAAGTGCTGAACAAGATAGCATTAAAATCATAAATAATCACAGAACATTAAAAAGAAAGATAAAAATATAAAATCCCTCAGTTGTATGCACAGCTAAACAGCACAGTTTTTAACTTGGTTTTAAACATAGTCAGAGAGGAGGCCTGTCTCACATCTTCAGGAAGAATGTTCCAGATTTTAGCAGCATGAATCTGAAAAGCAGCCTCCCCATGTTTAGTTCTGACTCTGGGCACTAACAGGAGTCCAGTCCCTGTGCTCCTCAGAGTCCTGGCTGGTTCATATGGGACTAACATGTCACTAATATATTTTGGTGCGAGGCCATGGAGAGACTTGTACACAAGCAAAGCTGTTTTAAAGTCTATTCTCTGAGCCACAGGAAGCCAGTGCAGAGACCTGAGGACCGGACTAATATGGTCGTACTTCCTGGTTCTAGTCAGGACTCGAGCTGCTGCATTTTGAATGTACTGCAGCTGTTTTACAGCCTGTTTGGACAGACCTGTGAGCAGGCCATTGCAGTAGTCTAACCTACTGGAGACAAATGCATGGATAAGAATCTCCAAGTCTGCTTTAGACACTATGTTTTTGATCCTGGAAATGTTTTTTAGATGGTAAAAAGCTGCTGATGTTACTGATTTGATGTGGCTATTAAAATTTAAGTCTGAGTCCAGTATTACCCCTAGATTTCTGACCTTGTTTGAAGGTTTTAGGGAGAGAGACTGTAGATGACAGATGACGCTCTCTCTTTGTTTCTGGGGACCAAAGACAATCATTTCAGTTTTGTCTGCGTTTAGCTGAAGGAAGTTGTTTTGCATCCACTCACTGATCTGTTGGATACAGTGAAGGAGTGAGTCCACTGGTCCATGTTCTCCTGCAGTCAGTGAGACATAGATCTGAGTGTCATCTGCATAGTTATGATAGGAAACTTCGTTTCTGCGTATTAACTGACCTAACGGCAGCATGTAGAGATTGAAAAGAAGAGGTCCCAGGATCGACCCCTGTGGTACTCCACAGGTCAGGGCCATATGATCTGAGACACAGTTTCCAATCTCCACAAAGTACTTCCTGTCTTCAAGGTAAGACCT